TGTAGACCATACCTCTGGAATGAGTATGGATTTCCACAGCTAGTAGAGAAGCTGACTCATAAAACTGCTAACCCGGGATAAAGCAGAAGATTCAATTACATGGGGCAGAATAAACTAATAAATAAGATAATTTTTATGGTTATTGTTTTGGAATATTTCTCATTCTTTAATGTCTTATTTAAGGAGCATTTTTTTTCCTGTTTTCTCATGCTTTCTGTAACTCATGACAATTTAGTAGGTTATGCTTTTGTAAAAAGAGATGAAACATATTTTCTTCCAACCTGATCCCTCCAGAATTCAGAAGCACTTATTGAGTATTCTAATTCTCAACGTCATTACGATTATTTGGATAAGTTCAATAAGATTCTGTCTTCCTTGTAACAGGACATACTTGGAAAAATCAGTTTATAACCAAGGCTTTGACTGGGATGTCATATTTGAGAATGATGCATTGAATCAGATACGTCCAGACACTTTTAAGGCACAAAGACTTTATGGAGTCAATGCTTACAAAGTCCTCTTGGGAAAACTGGCCTGCTACTTGGCTTATTGGATCCTGCCATCTTATACATTTTCTCAATTCTTTTAGTTTCCTCTGATAGCCTACTACAAGTCTCCAAACTAACATTTTTAATTTCTCCCTACCTTCCTCACTTGGCATCACTGAGAACTAAAACTGTCTTTTTCCCAGAAGGGGACAGTTAAGACTGTCTTCTTAAGCAAACTTTAGTCAGGTTTCTCTAAGTCTTTTTTGTGTCTAGGCCCCATTCTTGCAATACCTGCATAGCCCAGTTTCAGCAAGAATCTTGCTAAGTTACTTAAGAGAAAATGTTTTACCCTTGATATCAGATCACCCTTGATACTTGGTCAAATTGCTCATCCCCCACCAGGCAATATGTGATCACCTTGGCTTGCCTTCAGCAAGAATACTGTTAAGGCTCTATAACCAGAATCCTCCTATGTTTCCTCTTAGTTATTTTCCATCCACTCACCTCCATCCTGCTCCTTGGCTATAAATCCCTGCTTGTTATTGCTGTATTTGGAACTGATCCCAGTTCTATACTGAGGTCTCTTTCCTTTATTGTAATAGTTACTGAATAAAATCTGTTTTTACTGCTTTAATCACTTCCAGTTCCGGTTTTCTTTGACATTATCAAAAGTATACAATATGGAAGAGCAATTACTGTCATGTGTTTACACTGACAGATATTTCAGCTTGCAATTGTATAAAACCAGTGATGCACAAAGCCTGAGTTGGTGCTTTGTGTATGTAGAGAATGTCCATGAGGGAGATATGCCTGACAACTTTTTGTCCTATTTATTACTGAAAACCTAGGGTATGGAAAAAGATACATTGAGCTTTGTGTGTGAAGAGGAAGGCAACACATTGCTATGCAAATAAAAGAGGTGTCCTCTAAGTGGTAATTTATATTGTATTTGCGAAGAATAGTTGGTGGTCAAAAAATACTCCCATTAGGTTTTGATTTATTGTTGAAGGAAATACTGCTAATTATTAGTCCTATCAAGCTGTAGCCTTTAAGTATGTACATACCTTTTTCGCATACTATGTGAGGAATTGGGCTGTAAGTATAATCTGACTGTTGAGGAAAGAAGAGTCTCATGTTAGTTTTTAAAATGAGAGACAATTAAAATATTCCCTCATAATGCTAATAATTCAAGTAAAGACTATTTTGAGTAACTTACTTGAGTGACATGTCACAGCAGTATGTTTATTCATTACGTTGAATTGTTTGAACCTTCACTTCAGTCTCAAAATATTCCATTTAAAAAATTTGCAGATAACAGATTAGAGTTTCTTTTTAAAAAACTGAACGGTGGTATAAAAATGGTTTAAACATCAGTGTTTTCCCATACCTTTTTTTTTTTTTTTTGAGACGTAGTCTCCATCTGTCGCCCAGGCTGGAGTGCAGTGGCACGATCTCGGCTTACTGCAGCCTCCGCCTCCCAGGTTCCAGTGATTCTCCTGCCTTAGCCTCCTAAGTAGCTAGGACTACAGGCGCGTGCCACCATGCCTGGCTCTCTTTTTTTTTTTTTTTAGTAGAGACAGAGTTTCACTGTGTTAGCCAGGATGGTCTTGATCTCCTGACCTCGTGATCTGCCCGCCTCAGCCTCTGAAAGTGTTGGGATTACAGGCGTGAGCCACCGTGCCTAGCCCTCCCATACCTTTCTTTTATAATTACTTTTATAATGACTTATTGTCTCATATATTTAAAAATTCTATCACTACAAATGTTATGTTACTTACATAATGCTTCATGAGAAAATGAAATAATACTTTTTAGAGCTAAAACCAGTTAAAGAATAATTAGAAAATCTATTTACTCTGTCTCCCAAGTTGAAATGGTCTTTCTGCATTCATTTATAAGTCTGTCAATTTAATGCCTGATAGAGTTCTGAAACATCTTCAGTGATGAATCTTTATAATTTCTAGGTTCACAATAGTCTAAATATGCATTTGTCTCTGACAAAGCCACCAAATGTTTACTGTCATTTAATAATCATTAATGGAGAATCAAGAGTTTATAATTTGGTTAATCACAATAGAAACTAGTTGGATGTGGAACTCAAGGACTTGTGGCTCAGAGTCTTTGTCATTGGGTCAGGTGTTGACAATTTGATAAGCGCACAAACAAAATACAGTCTCTTTCACTGATAAGGAATAATAAATAAATTGATATTTTATTTAAAATAAAATATTTTGAAAAAATATCTTAGTATTGTGGTCCATGGATGCTGAAATAGTATTTGTCACTTTTGTTAAAAAAAAAAAAAAAGGTAGTGTTGGCCGGGCGCGGTGGCTCGTGCCTGTAATCCCAGCACTTTGGGAGGCTGAGGTAGGTGGATCACCTGAAGTCAGGAGTTCAAGATCAGCCTGGCCAATATGGTGAAACCCCATCTCTGCTAAAAATAGCTGGACATGGTGGCGGGTGCCTCTAATCCCAGTTACTTGGGAGGCTGAGGCACGAGAATCGCTTGAACCTGGGAAATGGAGGTTGCAGTGAATTGAGACCATGCCATTGCACTCCAGCCTGGGCAACAAGAACAAAACTCCATCTCAAAAATAAAAATAAAAAAGATTGTGTTTGTTGATCACATACTATGAGGCAAACATTTTAAGTGTCATGAACTCATGTTAACTGTGAAGGAGCCAGTAGTTTACAAACTGATACATGGAGGGAATAACTTATTCAAACTCACCCAGCCGTTTATTGGCAGAATTAGGATTTTAACAGAGTCAGTCTGGTAGTAAAGTCTGCTCTTACCCACTATCTGGCAGAGATAAATAGCACTGTAGGAGTCCCTGAGAGGTCAACTCAAGTATAAGTATTTTATATTTTGAGGTTTCCTAAAGTTTTTCTCTACTTCATTAACATACAAGTTGCCCACATTATTCTCCTTCTCATTATTACTACAACTAGTTGAGTATTTTGATTAGAATACTTCTGGGAGAGAAGTGGTTGCTAAGAAGGGAATGCTTTATAGACAGAGAAAGGATCATTTTTATGGTCACAGGTTATTTTCTAGTCTTGGCCAAATTTTCTTTTTGGTGGGGGGAGTATTGTGGTCCAAAGACAATTTAGGTGACTCATAACCTATCACCTCTAATCCCCCAGATGTCTCAAAATTGCATGCTCATGAGAGTATCTCAATGAGTGAATAGCAGTATCTCCTTGCATTAAAAATTTACACATATCATAAGTACTTTTAAAAATCAGAGTATCTCAGTGAGTGAATAGCAGTATCTCCTTGCATGAAAGATTTACACATATCATACTTTAATATAAATAAATTCAAAAATACAGATCAGCTTTCCTATAAGTGTATTAAAAACCTTTTTATGAATAGCAATTTAAAATATTTTAAAACATTTATTTTGCACAGCTTTGTTTACTAGGTTTAATTTATCTTATTACTATTTGTTAAAAATAAATGGAAATTCAAGTTTATAGTCTTGCTCTAAATCATTTTTAAAAAATCAGATTTCAGAATGTAATGTTTTTGGCTTGTTTTAAATATACCTGCTTGCTGGCTCTTGTGTGTTGGGGTAGAGCTTTCTTTTTAAAATCTAGTAGCGCCCTCTAGAGCAAAAGGTAAAATACAATTTGATAAGAAAGGAGCAGTTTAACAAATTCAAATATTCTCCTTGAAATTTCCTATCTGGAGTAATAGTTTGTTACTTAGAAGTACCAAAGAGCTGGCCAGACATGGTGGCTCATGCCTTTAATACCAGCACTTTGGGAGGCCGAGGTGGGCAGATCACTTGAGATCAGAAGTTCAAGACCAGCCTGGCCAACATTGTGAAACCCCGTCTCTACTAAAAATACAAAAATTAGATGGGCATGGCATGGTGGCTCATGCCTGTAATTCCAGCTACTTGGGTAGTGGGGGAGAGGTGGGTGGGGCTGAGGCAGGAGAATCTATTGAACCCAGGAGACAGGAGTTGCAGTGAGCCAAGATCATGCCACTGTAGCACTCCAGCCTGGGTGATAGAGTGAGATTCCCTCTCAAAAAAAAAAAAAAAAAAAAAAAAAGTAGCAAAGACCTGAACCTAAATTTTTTTTGCTCAAATATATATATATATATATTCTTATCAAGGATGCCTTTTAGGTAAGCTCTTCTTACCTAACATTAAAGATTAAAACATCTTTTTCTTACCTCCTTGTGAATGTAATGGTATGTAATTTTATTTTAGAATGGATATTTTGATAAAATTACCCATAAGTATTGAATTTCTTGTTGACCAATATAACATGCTAAAATTTTATTGTATGTCCAGTTTGTATGTGATAGTGTATTTGTTTTGAGAATTACAAAATAGAGAATAAACCACACCCCTTGTACTTATGCTCTTATTTCCACTTGTTTTTTGTAGTACAGCATGACACATATTGGGTCTTGTAGTAGTCTTGAGTAAAAAATTATCTTGATTAAATTAATTAATAATATTATTATTGATATATATCCATTTTCTATTACAGAAGAAAATACTCAGGAAACATCCCAGGTGAAGAAAAGTTTGACTGAAAAAGTTTCTCTCTATAGAGGTGACATCACATTGCTAGAGGTAGATGCTATAGTCAATGCTGGTGAGTAGGAGATTTTTCTGTGATGTGTTTGTTATATAAGTATTATTTCAAAATATTTTTTATAATTAAGAATGTAAGTATTTTAGAAAACAATGCTTTCTGATATATAAATGTCTAATCTATTTCTCTTCTTGATTAAACACATTGGAGATCTATGTTTTTGTATGTTCAGCAATTAATGTGCATCTACAGCACCCTCTACAGTGAAAGGTGCTAGGTTGAGATTAGGATACTGGACCACTGGAGAAGTGACAGATTGTTGCAGAAAATTCTTCAGAAAGAATTTTAGCAAGTATATATATTATTGTTACTTTCATAGCTTGAATTAATAGTTGGCCAACATAAATACAAGCTCATCAAGCTTTTTTTCTTCTTTTGAATAGGTTGTCAGGCAATGATTGAACTGTGTAAGCCAAAAGTGAAAATATAAAGAAATTATTTCAGTGATTTCAAAACTTAAGTTGTTTGGGTTCCGGTTTTCATTTTCATCATGAAATGCTTCATTTTAACCAGCATATTTTAATTATTTTTAATAATTAATTATCTAGTTAATTTTCCTATTTCAACACTGGGAAAAATTTAACAGATGTTATATTTTACTATGTGGCTATATATCAAAAAAGATGTAATAGCTGTGATACTATAAAAATATTGTAAATGAGAGGATATTTAATGGTTTTAATTTGTGTTTTGTAAAGTTAGGCTGTTTGAAGGTTGCAAGTGTCAATTAAAAACAAATCTGGACTTAGGTAAGGAGAGGTTTTATCTAAATAGACTATTACAATAAAAGGAGGAGGATGATTCCAATAGCGGGAGGCAGAATATTGTGTTATCAGGAATGTTTTTCCCTGAGGTCAGCTGGTTCTGGGGAATGGCCGTTAAGGAGGGGTGGCTCACCTTCCATTGCTTCAGGGTGGACCAAAGTTCAGGGGTTTCAAGGAAGGAGAGGAGGCTGACTAAAGTTTGGTCGGGTCATTGGTGGGCATTGACCAACCAGAATGGCAAATGGGGAAAAGCGTTTGGCTAATGATGTATGAGACAGAGAATGGGAATTTGGAAAGTCCGTTTCTGGCCTTGTCATTTGGCTGCAAGGTGGTCATCTGTCAGTTTTATCTAGTAAGCCTGTTCCCAGAACACAAAAGGATAGGGGTAATTTCTTGACTGTGACTCTTTCCAAGAGTACAGAGTTCAGGTGAAGTTCAGTGTTATCTCCAGGTTCCCTGTGGTGATAATAAATTCACACAGGATAGTAGGAAAATGCATTGGCAGGCGAACAGAAGGGTCTAATGGAGAACTGAAACATTGTTCAAGGATATTGTACAGCTCTGGCAATTGAGCAGAAAGTTCAGAATACTGATCTGCTTGTTGTTCCCTTAGAATTGGGTATCAGTTACAGCGGGGCACGGTGACTCATGCCTGTAATCCAAGCACTTGGGGAGGTCGAAGTGGGTAGATCACTTGAAGTCAGGAATTCAAGACCAGCCTGGCCAACATGGTGAATCCCATCTCTACCAAAAAATACAAAAATTAGCCAGGTATGATGGCGAGCGCCTGTAGTCCCAGCTACTTGGGAAGCTGAGGCAGGAGAATCGCTTGAACCTGGGAGGTGGAGGTTGCAGTGAGCTGAGATCATACCACTGCACTCCAGCTTGGGTGACAGAGTGAGACTTTGTCTCAAAAAAAAAAAAAAAAAAGTGATTGGATGTCAGTTGCTTTGTACCATAGCTGCTTTGCCGTAATCAAGGCTCAGTTTTCTCCTTTTCTTCTTCTGATGCTTCTGCACTTCCTTTCTCCTTTGCTGCTTCTGCTGTCTGTCTAAAATGTAAAGTCTTCTTGAGAGAGGAGGCTGGGTCATTTAATCGCCACCCAATATGACTCACTCTTTCATCCTCAGGTTACCTCATAGGATACAGGTCTCCCTTATATGTAGTATCTGTGAATTGTTCATTTGTGGTCCTGGGTATCAAGATGCTTTCTCTGTCCCGTGGGGCCTCTGTGGGAAGACAGGCCCTTAGAAAGGGTCTCAGGAAGTCCTCTCCAGTAGTTTTAATAAGATATCACTATAGATAGTAATTTAATGTATATGCCCTAAATTCTATAAATATATGAACTTTAATTTTAAAACATTTAAAAGATCATATGTGTTTATATATATATAAAAGATCACGTGTGTGTGTAAATATACATAAAAGATATATATGTATATATATCTTTATATATACATCTATGTGTGTATATATAAAAGATCATATGTGTGTATATATACATAAAAGATATATGTATAGATTATGTATATATATCTTTTATGTATATATACACACATATGATCTTTTATATATACACACATATGTATCTATATACACATGATCTTTTAAATTTTTAAAAATTAAAGCTCTGCCGGGTACAGTGGCTCACGCCTGTAATCCCAGTACTTTGGGAGGCCAAGGCAGGTGGATCATGAGGTCAAGAAATCGAGACCATCCTGGCAACATGATGAAACCCCATCTCTACCAAAAATTCAAAAATTAGCCCGGCATGGTGGTGTGTGCCTGTAAGTCCCAGCTACTCGGGAGGCTGAGGCAGGAGAATTGCTTGAACCTGGGAGGCAGAGGTTGCAGTGAGTCGAGATCATGTGACTGCACTCCAGCCTGGCGACAGAGTGAGACTCCATCTCAAAAAAAAAAAAAAGTTAAAGCTCATTTATTTGTAGAATTTAGGGCATATACATCAATATATATAGACACATAAAAATATACACACATATCTTTTAAATTTTAAAAAATGTAAGTGTATATGTACATATGTATATAAATACACTGTCAGCCTTCCTGTATGTTCTTGTAATTTCTAACCATTACTCCTAGTTCTGTCCTGAGGAAGTACAATTGATCATATCTACTTCCTTTTTAAATACTTGAAGATCACTCTCACAGGTTTTCTCCTTCTTGTTGTTAAGATAACATTGATTTTGCCATGTTAGCACACACTTAATAAGAGTAACAATGGTCTTTTCTTGGTTTTGCTGTCTTCCCATGGAAGCCACACATTAGTACCATTTTCTCTTTTTGTGTCAACTCCTAAAGCAATGTCATCTCCTTCTTAAACATATTTAATGCTGTGTATTTGTTAAATTGAATTATTTAATATATGGAATTGAATTTGTAGATCTCTGACTAATGGGACATTCAGCATTGGAAACTTGACACAGTGAACCAATTGGCTCTGTTTTTTGTTTTATCTGATCAATTAATAAAAATATTTTGGGAGTAATTATCGAAATAAAATAAAATGGTGCAAAACAGAAGAACATCATTAACTACCTCATCACTATTTTGTTCTTTTAAATATCATCTTGCTCTTTCCTAAATGTATAACTTTTCATAGCTGCTGCGTAATATATAAGGGTATGATGAATTTATATGAAGACAGGCAGCAACTTTTGCTTACTCCCAAAATGATTTGGTAATTTTAACTCACCTCTCTGGCTGTGATGATTGTAATTTGGCCATGTTTTGCATCTCACAAGGATAGTCTCATCAGGAAGATCCCAGGTAGATGAAAAAGGGATGCCAAGTGAATATACACTGTAATGGCTCTATTTACAGCTTTCTGCTGTGCAGTTTGTTTGCCTGGTGTGGAAGGAGTGGAGCAGCTGTTAACTTTTCAGGTGAACAAGGCAACATGGCAGGAAACTATAGAACTGCCTCTACTGGGAGGGGAGTGAAAAACAGTACCCCTAGTCACTATGCCAAAGCAACCCCGTCACCTCCTGTTAGACTTCTGAAGTGCTCTTTTCATGACCATATTAGTACATTGGAACACCTGGTCTTAGTTGCTATAAATGAAATGATTTAAACTTCTTTCTAATAATGTGTGTTTTGAACTGCCTTAACCTCTTTAAATGTGACCCAGGATGGACTTCTTGTGTATTATATTCTTCTCTCTAGGAAATTATGCATGTTTAGTATGTTTTAATAAAACAGATTTTGCAAGCATTATAGTACACAGGGCGGTAGCACAAGTTTAGAGTTAGGCAGACCTGGGTTCAAAATTCAGGTTATCATAACCAAGGCCATTTTTTATTTAAACTTTTTATTTTGAAATAACGATAGAAAAGACAAAAATAGCACAGAGTCCTATGAACCCTCTGTAAACTTCTCCCAATGGTGGCTTTGTATATAGCTATAGTACAACATCAAAAGCAGATTTTAAAAAATAATTTATTTTAGATTCAGGGAGTACTTGTACACTCGTTACATGGTATATTCACAATGCTGAAGTTTGGAGTATGATTGATCTTGTCACCCAGGTAATGAGCGTAGTACCCAATAGTTACTTTTTCAACCCTTGCCCCTTCTTTTCCTTCCACCTTAGTAGTCCCCAGTGTGTGTTGTTGCCATTTTTATGTCCGTGTTTACCCAATGTCAAAAACCAAAAATTGATACTGTTACATTACTATTATCTAGACTACATACTTTATTCAGTTTTAACCATTTTTAAACTTGCATTCATGTGAATGTGTGTATATGTGTGTGTAGTTCTTTGTAGTTTTATTTAATGCATACATTCATGCGACCACCACCACAATCTAGATACAGAACTATTCCATTATCATAAAAGAACTCCCTCATGCTGTCCGGGCGTGGTGGCTCACGCCTGTAATCCCAGTATTTTGGGAGGTCGAGGTGGGTGGATCATGAGGTCAGGAGTTCAAGACCAGCCTGGCCAAGATGATGAAACCCCGATTCCTTTAAAAATACAAAAATTAGCTGGGTGCAGTGGCAGGTGCCTGTAATCCCAGCTAATCTGGAGGCTGAGGCAGGAGAATTGCTTGAACCCAGGAGGTGGAGGTTGCAATGAGCTGAGATTGCACCATTGCACTCTAGCCTGGGCAACAGAGCAAGACTCCATCTCAAAAAAAATAAAGAACCCCCTCTTGCTGCCACCTTTGTGTTTATATCCACCCATCTGCCTCCCTCCCTGTTTTCCATCTCTACCGT